ACCACTGGGGCCAGGCATGGTGGCTCATGCCTGTAATCCCAGCACTTTGGAATGCCAAGGCAGAAGGATCGCTTGAGCCCAGGAATTCAAGACCAGCCTGAGCAATATAGTGAGACCTCATCTCTATAAAAAAATTTGTTTTAATTAGCTGGGCTTGGTAATGCACACCTGTAGTTCCAGCTACTCAAGAGACAGAAGTGAGAAGATCACTTTGTTACCCATGGAGGGTCTCAACTACAAGTTGTCCATGTTCTTGGCAATCTGAACAAAGAATTGGACAAAAAGCACAAATAAAGCAATGAAAGTACAGCACAATGAAAGAAGCAATAAACGCTCAGATTTATTGAAATGAAACTACACTCCACGGAGTGGGTGTGGGCTCCAGTGAGCAGCCCAAGAGCACTGGTTACAAAATCTTCTGGGGTTCCAGTACCCTTTAGAGGTTTCCTATTGGTTACACACTATGTAAATGAAGACTTGACCCACAACCAATTAGAGGCTGAAGTGAGGTTACACTCTATGCAAATGAAGATGTGACCTACAGCCAATCAGAGACTGAAGTGAAGTTACACCCTGTGCAAATGAAGACTTGGTCTGTGACCATTCCGAAGCTGAAGTGAAGGCTCCCTGTCTCCAGACCCTACTGAGAGAATACTGCCTCAACTTGAGCCCAGGAGGTCAAGCTATAGTAAGCTACAATTGTACCACGCCACTCTAGTCTGGGTTACAGAGCAAAACTCTGCCTTAAAAAGATAAATAAATAAAACCTGACCATGAAAACTCCATAATGAATTCAAATCTTAAATTTCTGTAATCTGTTTAAACTTTACCTAATCTAAAAACATCAGAAATCCCTGTAGCCTCTTATGCCAGCCACTGTACTAACCATATACTAGTACTAAACATTCCCATCAGAACGTTGAGCCCCAATTCATTTATTTCTCTACTGATTTACTAAAGGAGCCAGTATCTACTTGAACTATTATAGTGCTACAGAGCTCACTATTTCTTGGGACAATTCATTGCCAAAATTATTAGAAAAATGTTCTGGTGTTTTTTTTTGCTTTGTTTCATTTTTATTTTTTTGAGGAGAGCTTATCTTCCCTTCCGGCGTCTACTGATCATCTTGGGTTTTGTCCTCTGGAGCAGTGTTCTCTTTATCTACCTTACTTTCTCTCTGATTGCCTAAGGTAACCATCATGTCTTCAAGGTCTTCCTCCCTCTTCCAAACTAAGCATCAGCAAATTCAACTATTCTCCTGCGAAGTGGCTTCCAGGGGTATCTCCTTCCTGCTCACTCCCTAACCAGTCTGGCTCCTCGGATTTAGGCAGCAACTAAGCATCTTCCTGCCTGAAGTGTTTTCATCATGCTGGACTGACTCACCTACCCACTGCCCCTATTTCTCCTTCTCACCACAGCTCAGGAAGCCCATTGTGTTGTCTGTGACACTCTGTACCTGCTTCTGAGAAGCAGTGATATTGTGTCTGGCATCGGCAGATTCTACAGAGTCAGGGATTCAGCGAGAAGGACTGAGCTCAGGGAAACAGCCATGAGTAGGGGCCCTTCTTTGCCTGATCCTGTCACACTCTTCCGTTTTCATCTCAATTTGTTAAAGGCATGAAGATGTCATCCAACCATAGTTCCATGTAAAGGTTCCTCTATGCAGCAAAACTGAGAAGTTTTACTGAGAAGGAGAAGGCAAAGGAGAAGAGAGGAGCAGAAACAGAATGGTCCGTGAGTGACAGGAGTGCAGAGACAACTAAAGAGTCAACCAGAGGGTAAAAAAGAGATGATTAATCAGTGTGGTGGAATGCCCTGTGTAAAGGGGTGGGGAACAAAATTCACACATCTCAAGGCCAGTGACGGGGAGTGGGGAAGGGAGAATGAGGACAAAACGACCAAAGCCACAGTAGGCTTGTGTGAGCTCCTGAGCACATAATTGGCTTCTCTAATAAGGGAGGACTGGGGTCAGCTTAACTGAGGGTGCCTTGTAAGCTTGCAAAGATGCATTTCAGTAAGAGCTGGTCACTGCCTCAGCCAATCAAAACAGGAGGGAGAGGAGGAACACCATTCTGTTTGTTTTTTGGAGAGAATTGTTAGAATTTACAGAATGCTGGCCAGGTGCAGTGGCTCATGCCTGTAATCCCAGCACTTTGGGAGGCTGAGCTGGGTGGATTGCGTGTGTCCAGGAGTTTGAAACCAGCCTGGGCAACATGGTGAGACCCTATCTTTACTAAAAGTTAGCTGGGCATAGTGGCATGCACCTGTAGTCCCAGCTACTCAGGAGGCTGAGGTGGGTGAATAACCTAAGTCTGGGAAGTCAAGGCTGTAGTGAACCATGATCACACCACTGCAGTCCAGCGTGGGTGACAGGAGTGTCTAAAATAAAAAACTCTGTCTAAAAAAAAAACTTACAGAATGCTATATGAGTTCATCGGGATCAATGAAATTATCTCTCTTTTTATTTTTTTGAGAGAGTCTCACTCCTGTCACCCAGGCTGGAGTGCAGCGGCACAATCTCAGTTTACTGCAACCGCCACCTCCTGGGTTTAAGTGATTCTCCTGCCTCAGTCTCCCAAGCAGCGGGGATTACAGGCACCGCCACCACACCCAGCTAATTTTTATATTTTTAGTAGAGACAGGGTTTCATCATGTTGGCCAGGCTGGTCTCAAACTCCTGACCTCAGGTGATCCACCTGCCTTGGCCCCCCAAAGTTCTGGGATTACGGGCATGAGCCCCCAGGCCCGGTCTGTGTCAATGAAATTATCAGATATTACTCTTCTGCACTCTGCGGACAAGAGAGTGTGGTAATGGACGATGTGGTTTATTTTTGTGCTGTGTGTGTGTGTGTGTGTGTGTGTGCGTGTGTGTGTGTGTGTGTGAGAGAGAGAGAGAGAGAACACAGGGAGGGAGGGTAAACTGGAGGAATAAAGCCCCATACTTGAATGTTATTTCCCTTAGGAAGGAATACAAACGATTCCTCTGGCCCCTTAGAGTGGGAAACAGGCAGAAACAGGGCTGTGATTCCGGAGGTCAGGAGCTCTCTGAGTAAGGAGTGAGACTGAGACTAAAAGCCAGGCTGCAACCCACCTGTGTTGCTTCCTTAAGGAAATCCATTCCCGCTGGAAGCCTCGTCCCGGGGGAGCCCCTGAGGTGCCCCTCACTCACAGAGTTCTGAGCCGCAGAGGAGCCTTTGCCACTCCACGGAAACTTGGATTCCAGAATAAAAAGAGAGAGAAGCTCCTTCGACAACAGGTGGAGCCACTGAGCTTAAACTGACTGAGCTTAAACTGTGACAAGAGATCTGTTTTTTGTTTATTTGGGTTTTTGTTTTTTTTTTTTTGAGATGGAGTCTTGTTCTGTCGCCTAGGCTGGAGTGCAATGGTGCAATCTCGGCTCACCGCAACCTCCGCCTCCTTACCGCAACCTCAGCCTCCCAGGTTCAGGTAACTCTCCTGCCTCAGCCTCCCGAGTAGCTCGGATTACAGGCGCACGACACCACACCCAGCTAATTTTTGTATTTATAGTAAAGGCAGGGTTTCGCCATGTTGGTCAGGCTGGTCTTGAACTCCTGACCTCAGGTGATCTACTTGCTTCGGCTTCCCAAAGTGCTCGGATTATAGACGTGAGTCACCGTACCCAGCAGAGATCTGTTTTTTTATTTTTTTCTCAAACTGCAGCCCATGGACCCGCAGTGCCCACATCTTCTGGAGCTTGTAAAAATGCAGAATCACAGGCCTGCCCCACACCTATGGAATCATAATCTGCATTTTAACAAGCTCCCTGGGCGATTCATATGCACCTTATAGCTTGCAACACCTTACCTATCCATTATACAAGGCCCCTTGCTCTGAGACCAGGAAAAGGTCACTTTGTATCCTATAAACTGGTTCATCCTCCACTCCACACAGAGCCCCAAATCCACAGGTCAGTTCCTAGATGGCCCATTCCAATGTAATTAATTATTGATGCACGATCTTGGATGGTGAGTGTCACTGTTATGGGTTGACTGGTGTCCCTGAAAAATTCACATATTGAAGTCTTAGCCCCCAGCACTCAGGATGGGACTTGATTTGAGAATAGCATCCTGGAAGACGTAGTTAGTTAGGTTAAGATGAAGTCATGCTGGAGTAGGGTGGGCACCTAATCCTATTGGGAATTTGGACACAGGGAACACACAGGAGAATGCCGTGTGAGGATGAAGGCAGAGCTCAGAGTGATGCTTCCACACATCTAGGAGTACCAAAGACTGCCAGCAAACCACCATTAGCTAGAAGAGAGGCTGGAACAGATCCTCCCTCACAGTCCTCAGAGGAAACCACGCTGTCAACACCTGCATCGCAGACTTCTTATCTCCAGAGCTGGGAGACAACACATTTCTGTTAAGTCTCCTAGTTTGTGCTACTCTGCTGTGGCAAAGTTAGCCCTAGCAAACTAATGCAGCCTCCACTTTCTCACCTGAAAAAGGGGAATGTAGATTGATGGTTTCCTTCCAGCTCTGAGCTTTTATGACATATTATTTCCTGATCTCAGTTCCTATGACCATATTTCAGGAGTCCTAGGAACATGGATTAATATTTAATTTCACGCATGTTTTAAACATTCCTTTTTCATCATGTTTATTTATTTATTTGTGTGTTTGTTTATTTATTTATTTGAGGTGGAGTCTTGCTCTTTCACCCAGGCTGGAGTGCGGTGGCACGATCTCAGCTCACTGCAACCTCCGCCTCCCAGGTTCAAGCGATTCTCCTGACTCAGTCTCCCGAATAGCTGGAATTAAAGGCACCTGCCACCACACCCAGCTAATTTTTGTATCTTTAGTAGAGAGAGTTTCACTATCTTGGCTGGTCTTGAATTCCTGACCTCATGATCCTCCCGTCTTGGCCTTCCAAAGTGTTGGCATTACAGGTATGAGCCACTGCACCGCACCCATTATGTTTAAATTCTATGAAATCAACAAGTTCACGTCTGAAAAGCATCCGTTGTGAGCTGCACTTACTTGTTATATAAGACGATGTCTGGCCTCCACACGAGGTCACTGGGGATCCTGATGGAGTCTAGGCCATCGTACTGATCTCGGTCCCAGGTGAGATAGGCATCATGCCAGATTTGGCGGATCCACAAATAGGCGGTCAGAATTTGGTTTCTTTCATCCTACGCAATGAATCCAGATGTAACTTTACCTAGCAGACACTTGAAATGTCTTCCATTGATAGGACACTTGTTCTTCACAATGGGAATTTCACAAACACTTGTCTATTTTCAATAAGTGAGAGCTTTATTATTCTATCCCTTTGATTGACTACCAAGATCATATTTTTTTTCCTCTTAGATTTAGTGTTCAGAATGTGAAGTGGACAAATATTTAAGTCTTCATATCTTTGCATGGATCAACTGCCCATATTTCCTGAAAATTGATCAATGAATGGCATACTTGAAAGCAAAAGTCAGGGAATAACAATGTGCAGAAGAAAAATCTTTCAAGTTTCGTAACATTGTGTAATTAAACATATAGAAGCACTAATAAGCTATGCCATCTTAAAATACTACCTTTTTTAAAAAATTGAGATTAAATTCACATTACAACTCACCATTTTAATCATTTTAGGAGGGGACATTTTAGAAGCTTCCAATATACTCACAATGTTGTGCAACCATTACCACTGCCTAATTCAAGACCATTTCCTTCCCCGCAAAGAAACCCCATCATCGTTAAGAACTTTCTGGCCATTTTCCCCTTCCTCCCTCCAGACCCTAGTGACTTCTATGCTGTTTTCTGTCTCTATGGATTTACCCATTTTGGACATTTATGTCACCCCACCTTTCTTTACATTACCTACATATTTACCCGTTATGTCACCCCACCTTTCTGTACATTATCCAAGACTGTTACAATTAACAACCAGGATTAGGTAACACTTCACGAAATTAAGAACTTTTGTAGAAAGCTTCCTTTTCTCAGCATTCTCTTCTCCCACCAGTTTGCATACGGAGCTGTCATTCCCTCTTAAATTCCATGTTAAGACATTCTCTTCAGAGAGCATGGTTGTTTATCCTCTAAGAATTATTCCAAAGAGTCAGCACCATATGTTACTCACCATATCCTTAATCTGAGAGAGCGTAATCTGCAGCGTGACATTCAGGACTTTATCTGTATCTTCCACTGGACGCAGAGCATTGGAATAATCTTCAAAAAGGTCATTAAACAACTTTTGAGCATATTTTCCATCTGCCGCCTCTACAGCTGCTCAACAAGAGGGATCTGGATCAACATTCAGAGTGTTGCGTGTATTTCAAGACAAAGAACACAAGACTGAGGTGTAAAATGGGGGTTGGCCCAGGGCTGGCGAGGGACAAGCTTTGGGTGGATGGATGAGTTGTTTTTCTGGTGTGCCCTACCAAGGTCAGAGTCAGTAGGAAGCACAGAACACTTCCATGCTGTTGAATCATCTGTCTTCCCTGCCCTGCCCCACCTCCCCCAAAGCAATAACCCCAGATGAGACAAGACGGTTACATGTCACCAGTCTCTCACCTCTCAGTCTGGAAGCAGCAAAGTAAATCCAGCAAAAGGAGATGCAGGAATGGGACCAGTTCATGCTTCTCCTTATCCTCTATAATAAAGTCTCAGCCAGGTAGTGTGGTCTTCTGCTTCTCTCTATGAATGCAAAGGACCTGAGCACAAGGAGCCCACACTGCTGCAGTCTTATGGCGACAGCTGGAGAGCTCAGGCTTGCGTTGCACTCAGGACCCAGATCCTGAGATCCAGGCCTGGCCTGCCCTCCCTCCCCTCCGGTAATTTGAGACTGGCAGCTCCAGTGGCTGAGATGCCGGGAACCCAGGGGGTGTTAGGTCCAGTCGTGCTGTTCTGGGGGGGTGTGGGCAGCATCTCAGTTGAGGGTCCCTAGCCACCCTTACCAGAAGCAACCAGACGGAAGAGGAGGTACATGCAGGCAGCAGAGGTATGCCTGACACCCCAGAGACTCCATCTAAGTAGAATGGCCGCTTTCTACACCCACCATGAGCAGATTCAGCCTGAGTTCAGGGACTAAGGGAAGCTCAACAGATTGCGCCATGGAACCGCCATCCAGAAAGGCTCTGTGAGCTTCAGCAGCATTGAAGAGGAAGGAGACACCGTTCTATGATCTCCAGAATATATTGGCATGTGAATTTTTTCTCTGCCTCAGCTTCTGATCCTTCCTGCAGCTGTCTCACTGGGCACGGATCTTACATAGTATATGTTTGTGAGTACATGTGTGAGGGGGTGTGCTGGATGAGTGGATATTCACTCACTTAAGAAGCAGCAGCACTGTGAGTTGAATTTGGACTTGACCACCGTTTGACTGCCAGCCCAAACGCTGACTAGCTCTATTATTCTGGATAAGTCACTTAACCTCTCTGAGCCTTCCAGAACTACAGACTGGGGAAAATAATATTTCCTCTCTCTAGAGATACTGAAATAACTGCATGTGAAAGCGCTTTCTACATGTCAGTAGTTTGCATCTTTGAAAACTTACCCAGGGCTTACCAGCTCAAAAAAAAATTAAAAACGGGTTCAAAGGCTGACCAGATCAGCATGAGAATAATCATAACCATGGTGATATGACTAATGATGATACTCTTTTCATTTGAATGCTACTTCATATAAAATGTCACAGTCATTTCTCATGTGTGATATAATTTTACTCCTATAGAGAAGTGTCCATTTTCAATTGCTACTTAGTCTGGAAACTCATGACTGTGCCTCTTCTTGCTGGGGAGACTGTTTTGGAAAACCATATTAAGATAATTTGGTTCCCTGGAATCGGAGCAAGGAAATTGGATAGCTCTGTTTCATCAGGTTTCAGCCGCCTGATGAGTCACCCCATCCCTCTTCGGGAATGTATCCTCTGAGTGGAACAGACACTCCAGCCATCGGCAAAGTGTTTCTTAATTGCCTATCCCCTTGTGTTGATTGTGAAGACATTATTTTTCTGATGCCCCTAGTCTGACTGACTCATCAAATGACACAATTCCGGGTGCCTATGCTCAGGCCTCCTTCAACAAACCATCCACTCCAGAATCTCAGAGCCAGAAGGTACTTCTGAAATAGAGTTTAAGGCCTCATTTCCACACAGGGAAACTGAAGCCGAGGGATGCAGAGTGGCTTCCCTCCAGCAGTGATCAGCCAGAGACAGAATCAGGCCACCTGCCCCAGTCCACTGTGCTCACCACAGCACTAACAATGCATCTCTTCCTTCTCATTGTCTTTGATCAATATGGCTTTTGCTGCCAGGTGGGTGCTGACTTCCTTCTGGGTAGAGGATCTTTACCTTATATGTCTTTGATTACTTACAACACTCATAGGGTTGAATTTTAGTTGACACAGAGTTTACCTTGAATGGTGTCCCTTCCCTTACTATCCCTCTCCCCTCCCTTCAGGCTCCCTTCTCCCCTCAAGGACCTCTTTTAGGTTGAAGCTGCTGAGAACCTTTGCCCATTGGAGTCCAGTCTCCCGGGGGCTATCCCTGACTCCATTCCAGGAGGATGATGGCAATGCTCTCATTCTTTAAAATAGAGACCTGTCTGACAAAGAATCCTAGTGAATTCTATGGCTAAAAGATCCTCTGTCAAGCAGCAGAGCAGGGATGGAAGAACAAATACCTTCATTCTGCTACATGTGCTTTTTAAAACAAAAATTACAAGAGTCAAGCAAAATGTTTTGCAAAGGATTGTTTTACCCACAAATGAATATAGCATGAATGTTTTCTCCATTTCATTAAATACAGGATCAGAACATTTTTAACCTGCAAAGAGCTCTTCAAGGACCATCTAGCTGAGTTCATCGTGTTACAGATGAAGAAACTGAGTAGAGAAGTCGGAAGCCTTCGCAAGGACAGAACCCGTTGCCCTGACTCTCAATACAGTGTTTCTTATACAACACCAGTGCAGCTGGTGAGGAAGCTCAGAGGAAATCAAGGTCATGTGTGCCTTTAGGCAGCTTGGGAATGCACTTCCATTCAGCCAAGGGCGGGTGGGACCTCCATCCGCCCCACAGGAGGGTGGGTAAAGGATGCCAACTCTCCACCGAGAGCCATGCCAGAGACCCTCAGCCTTTCCAGGAGCCTGGGCTCTTCGCAGAGGAGTGCTGTCCTAGAAGCTCAGAGCCATGACACCTGCTAACCAGTGCTTCACAGCTCACGGCAATGGCAGGAGATACCTCAGTGGGACTCCATGCCTGAGGACCTAGTTCACTGCTACTTTCTAAGTTTGCTGGCTTTACCCTGGGTATGTGTCTTGAAATTGAAAAAAAAAAATCAAAACCCTCAAATTTTCTTTTAAACAGAACTACGTGAATTCCTTCACCTTACACCAGAGTTTGGGATGAGCGTTGGTAGTTAAGACGCAAAATCACGCCCAAAGGGCTGTCCATGGCACCACTCTTCAAACATTTTGGGGTTTACTTCTGTCTTTGTTTTCTTAATCAAGAAAAGCAATATCATGTAGACTCCAGACCCTGAGTCAAACCGCTTGGATTCAAGTCCAGCCCCACCACTTACTAGCTGTGTAGTCTTGGGTAGATTATTCGACCTCAGTTTCTTCATGTATAAAACTCAGGCAATTATAATAGTGCTTACCTCTTGGGGTTGTTTTGAGGACTAAATCAGTTAATGCATGTGAAATGCTAAAAAGAGTGCTTAAACATAAAATTGCTAGCTAAATGATCACTAAAGAGGAAAATGACATGGTAAGCATGTCATCTGTAGCTCAATGCCACTATTTATTTATTTTATTTATTTATTTTTCCTCTTCTCTTCCTCTCCCCCTTCCATCTGTCTCTCTCTCTCACTCACCCAGTCTCTCTCCCAACTTCTTGATAGACCTGGTTAGAGGATAATTGGTTTTTTGTTTGTTTGTTTATTTGTTTAGAGACGGGGTCTTGCTATGTTGCCCAGGCTGGAGTGCAGTGGCTATTCACGGGCATGTCTCACTACTGATCAGCACGGGAGTTTTGACCTGCTCCGTTTCTGACCTGGGCTGGTTCACGCCTCCTTAGGCAACCTGGTGGACTCCCACTCCCAGGAAGTCACCATACTGATGCCAAACTTAGTGCAGACACCCGACCGGCATAGCTCACTACAGCCCAGAACTCCTGGACTCAAGCGATCCTCCCACCTCAGCCTCCTGAGTAGCTGGGACTACAGGCACGTGCCACCACACCCGGCAGGATAATTGTTTTATGTGACAAACAGCTTATACTATGGGTGGGAGAATATTGGTCCTACTATTTTCTTGTTGTCCTTTTTTATTGTGATGTTAATATTATTGTCAGTCCACCGTGGATTTATTTATTTCTTACTTATTTCTGCAGTAGTCTTTTTCATCCTCAAATCTACTTTGTGAGAGTTACCCAATCTAACTCCATCACAGAGATTGGCAAACTCTCTGCAAAGAGCTAGATAGTAAATATTTTCATCTTGGCAGGCCATATGGTCTCTGTAGCAACTACTCTTCTCTGCTGTTGCACTATGAAAGCAGCCATAGGCAAAATGAATGTGTGGCTATGTTCCAATAAAACTTTATTTACAAAAATAGGTGGCAGCGCATAGTGTGTTGACCCCTGATATAGACCAGCAGATCCATAAATCCACTTTGCTCATGGAAATTGCAATAGGGAACAGTGTTCCAGATAAAGAAGGGGCAAAGCCTGCAGGGAAAAGAGCTTGACGTGGGCAGATGCCTGGCAGGGCCAGGGCTGACTCCGGCTGCAGCTCAGCCAGTCAGATTCGAACTACCTTCCAGCAGAGGCTCTGGGCATGAAAGAAGCCTTTCTAGTAAACAGTCCGAAATAGAAGAGAACCAGAGAGAAGGAAGCAGCCCTGTTGGATGCCTGGAGGCTGGGCAAACCTCCTCACTTCCACAGGGTTCCTGTCATAGCGTCATGGGCAAGGAATTAGAGTTTCCAGATACAGGTGATGGTGGGAACGGTGGCTACAGCCAGGCCAGAGGCTGCAGGGTGAGCATCAGGGGAATGATTCAGAAGTTCAGATAAGTCTCTGAATACAGACGGGCATGGAGGGCAGAGCTCGGGCAGTTTCACTGAGAGGGACGGAGTACCAGAGCACTATTTTGTTTCCAGATTGCTAGAAATCCCAGCAACTGCACTCCCTCCCACAATTGTACTCAAATCCATTGGCCTGGGGATCATTGTGCACTGTGGCCTCCTACTCCTGGGCTCAAGAGATCCTCCCATCTCAGCCTCCCAGGTAGCTGGTACTACAAGTACATGCCACCAAGCCAAGACAGTTGGTCATCTTAAAACACAAGTCTCATCACGTCACCCCTCTGCTCAGTGGATTCTCTCCAGTGAATTCTCACCCTATTTGGAATAAAAGCTCAGAACAAAAGGGATTCAGGAAGGGGAGGAAGGAGGACTTCTGGGCAAATGGGAACAGTGGGCTCAGAGCTCATTATCATATCGGCACCAAAAGGTGATGACACAAGGTGTGGAGCTGATTCTCCTTCTGTGACCTCACTTGTCTGTGTCTCACTGTTGTCCCACTGTGTTCTGGCTCTGGCAGTGGTATGTAGTGGACTGGAAAAGTGTTCTGAGTGAAACCTAGCGGGACAGTCTCTCTTGGTGCTTCTGGGCATGGTGGAGGAAACGTCCCACTCTTCAACTTTCCCAACCATGACTTAAAACAGACCCAACTCCTGAGCATCCTCCTCGCCTCTTCCCCCTCACACCCATATGTTAGTCTACTGGGACTCCTGCAACAAAATACCACAAACCGGGTGAATCAAACAGAAATTTTGTTTCTCACAGTCCTGCCTCCATGCCCGAGGACCAGCTCATCCAAGAATCAGCTGGAAGTCCAGACCAAGGTGTGGGCAGGGCTGGTTTCTCCCGAGGCCTTTCTCCTTGGCTTGTAGATGGCTGTCTTCTTCTTATGTCCTTGCATGGTCTCCTCTGTGCAAGTCTGGGTACTAATCTCTTCTTCTCAGGGAGCCAAGAATAAGGACAGGCCTGGAGGGCAGGTCCCTGGCAATTTTCCCAAGAGATACAGAGTCCCAGAGCACTGTTTTGTTTCTAGGTTGTGATACCGTTTCCAGTCTGTACCCAAACCCATTGTCTCCTCCAATGAAATTAGTCCCACCCTAATGACCTCATTTAATCTGAATTATCTTTTTTTTTTAATCTGAATTATCTTTAAAGACCATATCTCTGGCCGGGTGCGGTGGCTCACACCTATAATCCCAGCACTTTGGGAGGCCGAGGCAGGTGGATCACTAGATCAAGAGATCGAGACCATCCTGGTGAACATGGTGAAACCCCATCTCTACTAAAAATACAAAACTTACTGGGCATGGTGGCACAGCCTGTAGTCCCAGCTACTCGGGAGGCTGAGGTAGGAGAATTGCTTAAACCCAGGAGGCAGAGGTTGCGGTGAGCCGAGATCGCGCCATTGCACTCCAGCCTGGGTAACAAGAGCGAAACTCAGTCTCAAAAAAATTAAAAAAATAAATAAATAAGACCATATCTCCAAATATGGTCACATTCTTCAGTACTGGAGGTTAGGACTTCAGCATGCGAATTTTGTAGGATGCAATTCAACCTGGAACACCCCACATCCAATCTGTGAACAAATCCTGCAGCTCCACCTTCGTGACATATCGGGAACCCAGCCGCCTCTTCCCGCCTTCCCTACTGTCTTCCGGGTCCAAGCCATTGCTGACTGCCATCTGCACGGACTGCACTTGCCTCCTTGCAGCCAACGGTGCCCCTGAATTACCTTCTCCAGGTAAGGGCCGGAAGGTCATTTTATTTCATTTCATCTATTTGTTATTTTTAAATATTGTATAAGATGGGGGTCTCACTGTGTTGCCCAGGTTGGGGTGCAGTGACTATTCACTCCCTCATGGTCATCGTGCACTGTGGCCTCCAACTCCTGGGTTCAAAAGATCTCCCACCTCAGATTCCCAGGTAGTTGGGACTATAAGTGCACGCCACCAAGTCCAGCCAGGTGTTCATCTTAAAACACAAGTCTTGGCTGGGCACAGTCTCTCACGCCTATAATCTCAGCACTTCGGGAGGCCAAGACTGGTGGATCACAAGGTCAGGAGTTTGATACCAGCCTGGCCAAGATGTTGAAATCCTGTCTCTACTAAAAATACAAAAATTAGTCCAGCATGGTGGTAGGCATCTGTAATCCCAGCTACTTGGGAGGCTGAGGCAGGAGAATCACTTGAACCCAGAAGGTGGAGGTTGCAGTGAGCCATGATTGTGCCAGTGCACTCCAACCTGGGCGACAGAGCAAGACTCCATCTCAAAAAAACAAACAAAACCACAAGTCTGCTCATGTCACCCCTCTGCTCAGTGGATTCTCCAGTGGACTCTCACCTTGTTTGGAATAATAAAAGCCAAAATCCTACAAGGCTCTTGATCCTACATGATCTCTCCCCCTACTTTTCTTCCCCTGCCCTCCCCCTCACTCATGCCACTCCAGCCATCCTGGCCTCCTTGCATTCCGCACACACACTGTGCCCCTCCTTTTGTTCCCTCTGCCTGGGCACCGTTACCCTCTCCTCCTGACTCCCTTTCTTCTTCCTGGGTTCAGCCCAGTGCCTCCTTATCAGAAGCCCTTCCCTGATGACGCTACAGAGAGTAACATCCCACCCCTCTCCATCTCCGGGATCCACTCTTCCCTCGCACTTAGGATCCGCCAGCGTATGTGTGTGCATTGCACTTGGGAGTTGTCGTCTGTCTCCCTACTAGAAATTAAGTTCCACAAAAGTAGGGACTTTGTCTTGTTCTGTCCTGTTCTCCCAGATACGGACAGGATATTAGAGGCTATTTACCGATTGCATAAATGAATAATATCTAGAATGAGAAATCTAAGGGATCAAAAGTAGGGGAAAGGCCAGCTTTCAGACAAAGAATGGTGGGTATATTTCCTATGATTCATAAGCTTACCTGTTTTTTTAGCACTCGTGGCCAGGGTGCTACTTACAGCTTTAGATTGTCAGTCTACTGCTGTGTTACATTTTAACCTGCATCAAAGCAAAATTCTTTGAGAACATGAACCATAATTTTTCCTTATACATAGTTCTAGCTCAAGGGAAAGAACCACCAAGACCAGTTAGCAGCATCTGCCATGGTTGCAGGAGGAGGGCGTGGAGGCATTTCCCCCATGTCTCTGCTGACCTAATGCAACAGAAAGAACCTAAGGACACAGGAGGAGTCCTATGGCCCAGGTTCAAGTTCTAGCACCACCACTTACTAGACATGTGAGTAGTAATTATTTCTCAGAGTCTTATTTTCTCATTTGTAAAAATGAGAATTATACTGAGGCGGGCGGATCACCTCAAGTCAGGATTCGAGACCAGCCTGACCAACATGGAGAAACTCCGTCTTTACCAAAAATATAAAATTAGCCAGGCATGGTGGTGCATGCCTGTAATCCCAGCTGCTTGGGAGGCTGAGGCAGGAGAATAGCTTGAACCCAAGAGGCAGAGGTTACAGTGAGCTGAGATAGAGCTGTTGCACTCCAGCCTGGGCAACAAGAGCAAAACTCCATCTCAAAAAAAAAAAAAAAAGAGGACTATAGTATTTTACCCAAAAGGGTTATTGTAAGGATTCAAGAGAAAGCAGATAACGTGCCAAGCACACACGTGGCACATAGCCGTGAATGCCACTATGATTCCCCCTGCTGAACCACACAGGCTACAGTACTCAGAAAACACCCATTGGTTAAAAGAAACTCATAAAGTTGCCAACAGAAGAGCCAAGTTCATGAAGAGACATGAGTGGGTATAAGAGACATGCAGTTTTCTGGGTCAGGAAAGCAGCTGATATATGATCCAGGGTATCCGGTATGTCCAAGTGAGCGATCTGGGGACTGCAGCGGGCTCCGATGTCTGTGCTTTGTCAGAGGGTGCATACTGTTCTCCCTGAAATCCCCCAAGGGAATGTATTTGAAAGCTGCAAAACTGTTTGCAGCAGCATAGGGTGAGTATCTCCTGGCTTCCTCCTGTTTCTGGGGTCTTTCTTCACTGCACAGAGGAGTCCTCATCCATGGGACATTTCTGGGCTCAACAGTAGTCTACTTGCTTCTGGGAACTTTTCAGACATGTTATTGAGTTTCTGACCCCTTCTCACCCCAGGAGGTTCTCACCCCAGAGGCTCTGCTTCCTCTTCTCAGAGCAGACCCTGCGGTTACAATTGTGTAATATTTCCCTGCCTGTTGCAATCACCATCTCTCTGCTAACATTGTAAGAGTTAGGCAAATGACAAGCCTGGGAAAAGGCAGAAGGGACGTGCTCTGCTCTTCTGTTAACAATAGCACATGACTCCAAAGATGCAAAATCCCAGAGAAGGGAAGCTGGGAGATTCAGAGACAACACTGTGCAAACCCAGAGGATGTCCTTCCCAGGCAATTCTGGGAGCTACCAACCCCCAGCCTCTCCCACAGCTTCTGCCCCCTGAGAAGCAGCATGGCCCCACAGCCCCAGATCCCCACTTGTCTCCCGCTCCCCCATCCTCTGCCCTGTCCTGGAAAGTGGGCAATAAAGGGACATGTTAAAACTGAAAAGAGGCAAGGGCCGGGCGCAGTGGCTCACACCTATAATCCCAGCACTTTGGGAGGCCGAGGAGCATGGATCACGAGGTCAGGAGATCGAGACCATTCCAGCCAACATGGTGAAACCCTGTCTCTACTAAAAATACAAAAATTAGCTGGGTGTGGTGGTGTGTGCCTGTAGTACCAGCTACTCGGGAGGCTGAGGCAGGAGAATCACTTGAACTTGGGAGGCAGAGGTTGCAATGAGCCGAGATCACACCACTGCACTCCAGCCTGGTGACAGAGATAAGGAGGTGCTCTCTCCCAGGAAGCAATGTGATGCTCCATCTCCCACCCCACCTGCCCTCAGCATCTCTTCAGCTAGGCCTACTTAGCCGAGAGCAGCTCCATGGGTATGAATGATTTCATAGGCATGTTAGGAAGGAAGTGGGGAAGGGTACTGAAAAGTAAAGCAGGAGAACTGGAAGATCTTATTCCCAAGTTCTTTCCCTGAAGACGCTTTTTAACTTTCTCCATTTCTTCTTCTCATTTACCTCACCATTGCCATTGACACAGGCTCTGTACACCTAGGAACTGAATGAGAGGAGATCAGAAGAGCCACAGAAAGGACAAGGGGAACCAGTGTGGCAGGGGGCAGGAGGGCGGGGCACGGGGGTGGGTGGATGGATGGATGCACAGCTCCTGAGCATGTAAGAGCCAGGCCAGAAGCTGGGTCCTCAGATACACTAGGTCTTCTCAGTGCCTTTCAGAGCCATATTGGAGCCTGAAAAAAAAGAGAGAGAACATTGGCAATACCAATCCTGTGTTATTGTTTTGAGACGGAGTCTCTCTGTTGCCCAGGCTGGAGTGCAATGGTGTGATCTCGGCTCATCGCAACCTCCACCTCCTGGGTTCAAACAATTCTCCTGCCTCAGCCTCCAAAGTAGCTAAGATTACAGGCACAGGCTGCTATCACCACGCCCATCACCGTGTTCATTTTTGTGTTTTTAGTAGACACGGGGTTTCACCACGTTGGCCAGGCTGGTCTCAAACTCCTGACCTCAGGCAATCCACCCGCCTCAGCCTCCCAAAGTGCTGGGATTACAGGCATAAGCCACCTCTCCCAGCCACTAATCCTGATTTTAAGCTTTGGTATTTTTATTTATAATGAAATGTTTTGCATTAATTTTGATGTTTAGAAATATTGTATTAAGGCCAGGCATGGTGGCTTACACTTACAATCCCAACACTTTGGGAGATCGAGGTGGGAGGATCACTTGAGGCCAGGACTTCAAGACCAGCCTGAACCACAAAATGAGACCCCATATCTACCAAAAAAAGGTTTTTTTTAAAAATTACCTGAGGATGGTGGCACGTACCTGCAGTCCCCACTACATGGGGAGGCTGAGGCAGGAGGATCACTTGAGCCCAGGAGTTTAAAGCTGTTAGTAAGTTATGATCACACCACTGGATTCTAGTCGGGGTGACAGACAGAGACCTTGTCTTAAAAAAAATTATTGGCCAGATGTGGTGGCTCATGCTTGTAATCCCAGCACTTTGGGAGGCCAAGGTGGCCAGATCATGAGGTCAGGAGTTCAAGACCAGCCTGGCCAACATGGGGAAACCCCATCTCTACTAAAAATACAAAAATTAGTCAGGCATGGTGGCAGATGCCTGTAATCCCAGCTACTCGGTAGGCTGAGGCAGGAGAATTGCTTGAACCTGGGAGGCAGAGGTTGCAGTGAGCCAAGATCATGCCATTGCACTTCAGCCTGGGTAACAAGAGCAAGACACTGTCCCCACAAAAATTATCTATATTCATTACTAATATTTTTGGTACCCCCTTAAGTGTGCACTGGAAGTAAGTGCCCCTCCTGTCTCACCCTGGTCCCGGCCCTGATGAGATTTAGCCCAGCTGATAGAACTATCAATTCTCCTCGTTGATGATTTTTCTTTTTTTGGAAAGAGTGAAAGCTTTAAAAATAATCTTCAAAAATCAAAGTCTTTTTTTAAAAAATGTGCAATTCTACTAAAAGAATTAAGGAAAGAGTGAAATTCTCAGCCACAAAAAGAAACCAAATTTAAACACAATTCAAATCCTTTATCTTCTGACAAAGCCAAGGTACTTCACCTTCCCAGCCACCAGGTGTCTCTGTAAACTCCCTGCAGGCCTCTGCACAGGGCGCTGCGGATAACGTCATATGTGAAATCTGCTGTTTTTAACCAGCTCTAAAGAGACAGTA